AAAAAAAAAAAAAAAAAAGGCAGAGAGGAGAGGGAGTACGTGAGTCGTCCAGTGCAATCTATTGTTTGAAACTTACTTTTTATCAGAATTTGAAGATGAAAACGGTAAGGAAGACTTCACAATATTCAATGAAACTTTTTTTTTTAAAAAAACTTGTGCTTTGCTTGTCTTCCGAATAACGCGTAGAAAACTTTTTTCCTGTGGTTTTTTTTTTTTTTTTTTTTTTATGGCAATGAGTAAGCTTGACTGAACTCATTTTATAGATAGAAATCTTTTTAACTCCAGACTAGTCGGAGGTTGGAGGATTCTGGGTCTTGCAAGTATTTTATGATGCAAAAAATACATTTATTATATGAATATACATGTTTTATGAAGTATGACTTGATTATGATTATTGTGCTATTCTAACTAATCACCAAATAGTAATCGGGAAAGAAATTATAAGGTGTGTTTTAAACCGATTTCCAGTTTTCTTAAAGAAAAACCTGCATTTTATGGTTTTATGTCAGTTTCTTAAATAGTCAGACAAGTGCATATTTTATGCCTGGGCTCAGAGGGCAGTATTAATGTGCTAGCTGTAGCCCCGATGCTCCAGGATATGTTAAGCTCTTAATAGGCTAATCAAAGAGATGGAAGCGTGTGTTTTTGATTTACTTTTGGCCACTTGGGACGTGCTAGACTCATAACCCTCCGGAGCCTTGTTTATCGAGGTATGTCTGTATATATGGTGTATGGGACAAAGTTCAGGGATGGGGGGCGGGGGGAGAGTGCTGGAGGGATTTTGGAAAGCCGTCTTCTGATAATGTGTGCTACAATCCTGTCTTTGGTAATTTCTTTCATTGTTGTACTAGAAGCAAAGAGAGCGAGAGAGTAAGACAGCGCACTGAGAGGGAACAAGAGAGTGAGTTTCTTACTCTTGTTTTTATTTGAGCTGCCGGTGCAACGCGTTTGGGCCAAATGCCAACTGTCTGGGTCACACGCGTTTTATCCAAATAGATTTAGCGCTGCTGTCTGGAAATGGGCTGCTGAATGTTAACTTTAGGATCAACTCAACCAGGGCAGCTCAGACTGTTACCCTCTGTCTGGGCGAAGTGGGATGGGGGTGGGGGCAGGACGGGGAGGAAAGGAGAAGCTGAACTTTTAAAAAGACACCGGACTGTGATTTTCAGCATAACTCTTTTATGTTCTGATTTCTTGGACTATTTGTCTTTTCTATCTTTTTTTTTTTTTTTTTTTTTTTTTTTTTTTTTTTTAGTGTACGTTGATTAAACTGAAACTTTAGATGGGAAAATGACAGTTCTCAGAATTCATGACAAGGAAAGAAATTTAAGACTGGTGGTAGTTGAAGGAAATTAAGAAAATTAATTTTGGAGATAATTGTTTTCCTGTGTTTCACCTAGGTGGTAGTGAACTCTGGTATATATTAATTTAGTCTGTAAATGTGATCACTGTGTTTTGGATTTTTGAAGAATAGCATAGAGAGGCAAATAAGTTTGTTTCAAACAAATCAAATTTATTATTTTGCCACAAATGGCAGCAAATGAAATCAGTGTAGTGGTATTAATGTTTTTGTGACTCCCAAGGGGAAAAGCCTCTAACCTCAAGGCCTGAAGTATTATAATGCTTTTCATGTCTGGTCCAATACCTGTAAGATTAATTCCTACTCTTATCTACTCTTACCACTTCCTCTTCATTTCCTTAGCAACCACTAGTAGCTACTAGTGGGATGGACCTCTATGCCAAATCTTACCCAGTTTCAGGCTTCAGTGAGAAAATGAAGAGAGTTAATATATTAAGAGAATTAACAGCATATTATATGAATAATTTTGGGGGGAGGGGAAGAGGTGAGGAGTTCTCTTGGTTCTACCAAAAGACATGGTTGATTGTCAGGTTTTTGAGCTACCTCAAGAGAAAAAAGTGTTGTTTCTGTTTTTCTGAGAAGAATTATAATACAGATAACATATATTTACCTTGTCATCTGGAAAAAAAAAATTGGGGACTATATGTAATTTAGGGCTTGATTTTTGCAAAATGGTCTTCTGTATTTTTGCTTTTGGCTCATTTGCTTTTCTTGATAAGTTTGAGTAATTTATATGTTTAATTAGCCTTTTCTTTGGAAACCAGTCTCACAAAGTTGATAAATGATCTGGAAGTCTTTGTACTTAGAGCCTAATGGTGGCCTTGGCATATAGTAGATGACAATAAATATTTGTTGAGAGAATAAATGGAAAATGAAATGAGAAGTTCATTTTTATGTCTAAAAATTAAATACCTGATGGGAGGATGATATTGTTACTTCCTCCTTGGAGACCTTAAAATATACTTCAGCCTTAAAATATATAACCAGAGTTAAACTGGATGAAAGAAGTTGAGGAGGATGTTATACATGTTCTTTAATTCCATAATAATAGTTCATGAGAGGAAAATATTACCTTGGCTACTTCCAGGTCACTTGAGTGGGAAGTAAAGAGATAGAGGAAAAAAACAAGTAATACCCTTTAACCAGGGCAGACTACTGGGGAATCACTGTAGTGCATGTTGTCTGAATTTAGCTAGTGTAGCTTCAATCCAAGGAAGCAGGTAAATGATCCCTTAACTTTACTGGCTGGTACATTTGTACTAGGGAAAAAACATGTGTGAAATTAAAATAAAATGGACGTTTTTGATTCTGTTTTCAAATTTCAAATAATTGTAAGCACAGTTATTATGACCTAAGTTCTCTACAGTTTGCTATAAAAGCCAATACAGCCTAGCTGATTGATTTCCATCATTGTATCCAACTATTTCACATTTTTGAGGGAAGGAGGAACATGAAAGTATTTTTGAAAAAAGACCTTTGAAAAGTGATGTGTTAGATAACAAGGGAAAAGGGCTAACATTTACTTAGCCATTAAAGTGTGTGCTTTGTATCATGGGTAATCTAATTTAATCTCTGAACAAGTCTTTGTAAGGTAGAAATCATTATCATGATTTTATAGGTGAGGAAACAGATTTGGAGAGGGAAGTAACTTGGGGTTAAGCCAGGAGTCAAAGCCTTGGTGCTTTCCACAACATCATAATGCTTCTGCTATACAACTTGAAGAAATAACACATTGTGATTTCTGGAAAATTGTCTAATCTAAAAATAGCCAGAACTTTGGGAACCATATCAGGAAAAGCCACATATTTGCTTAAGATGTCCAGATTAACCTCTCCACCAAGTGTCAGAAAGTAGATTAATCTATTCATTTTTATTGTGTAGGTGACTAAGATCGGTTACATATGTTAGTTGTTGATGTTAGTTGAGCTGGAGCTCATTCATTTACTATTAAGTTCCTTCACTGGACACTGGAGTCTTAAAAGAAAGTGGGGAGTGAAGGAGAGGGTAAGAAAGGAGAAAGAAACTTAAATTTACTGAGTACTCACATGCCCAGTACTATAGCTAGTATGGAAACAAGATTGTAACTCTAGTTTGTTTAACCTCAAATCTACTCTTTCTGCTATACCGTCAATGCCCTTTTTACTACAAGTCCTTGAATCAAATGTTAGTTTGCTTTTGTCCAAGTAGTTACGTATTACATTTTCTCTCAATGTTACTGGCTTGGTTAACTTGGGCATTTACCAGACTATGCTAATAACGGTAAGAATGGACATTGCAAAACTGAAGACCAAGAGATTTCTCAAGGGGGAAAATACTTGTTCCCTAAACCAAACCAACTATATTGTAAATTTATATCATTAGTTTCAAAGCCCAGGAGAAAACGGATGAATGATTCAGTTCAAATATATCATCACTACTAGAAAATTAGCTCAAATGAGTTAATTATAGATGCCTCTTTAAAGGGAGATTATACTTTACAATATATGTGTGTGTGCGTGTGTGTGTGTATGTACACACACACATACTCTGGTGGATTCGAACTGCCGACATTTTCCTTTAAAGAGGCATATATAATATGTTGTTGTTAGGTGCCTTGCAATCTATTCCCACTCATAGCGACCCTATATGACATAGTAAAACTGCCGCATAGGGTTTCCTGGGCTGTAATCTTTATGGGAGCAGATTGCCAGGTCTTTTCTCCTGCAGAGTGGCTGCTGGGTTCGAACTGCCGACCTTTCGGTTAGCAGCCGAGTGCTTCACCATTGCACCACCAGGGCTTTCATATATAATGTGGACATGTATAATATATATGGAAACCTGTGAGAGCTGGAACGCGACAGGACTGCCTTGTTTTTCTGGATCTCAAAGTTTTCCGCCTTTGACAGGATACAGTCTTACCACTTTTCTCTCTCTCCTTTTAGTGGAAAAGATTTGAGTTTTCCTTCTCTGGCAGGTTTTTGCTTACACAGGTTCTGGCTTTCACAGGTTTTACTGAATGTGTGTGTGTGTGTGTGTTTTAAAGTTTGAAAGAGCTTACCTTTTTTTTTTTTGGTGAAAGTATACACAGCCAAAAAATACACCATTTCAACAATTTCTACATGTACAGTTCAGGGACATTGGTTACATTCTTCAAGTTATTCTACCATTCTCACTATTGTTTTCTATATTATTCCACCACCATCATCTTAAACTCATTGCCCCCTAAGCTTCCATTCTGCCTTTTGAGTTGTCACTGTTAATTTGATCTCACATAGATAATTCTTTAAAAGAGAACAACGCTCAAAGTGGACATACTTTGACAATTTAAATAAGCTATTTTTTGGTTCAAAGAAGACTTCAGGTGATAGTTTTGATTTACAGTTTAAAGTTTATATATTATCTCAGGGCAATAGTATTGGGGGCTTATCTAGCCTTGATGGCTTCAGAAAGTCTGGATTCCCATCAGAATTTGAAATTGTGTTCTACATTTTCCCCCTTTTGATCAGCATTCTTCTATAAGGAACTCATTTGATGTCAGACATTATTACACAAAAAACTCTAGTGATTAAAAAGATTTTTAAACAGTAAGAATGAATGTAGTTCATGAAGCAACAATTATATTCTAATATCTCATGGGAAAGTTTGGAGTATGGCGACTATATGTTAAGTAGGTTGGGAACTTAAGAGAACTGGATTCTTTTTATTATTGTTATTGAATAATGGCGTGACTTGATCTTTTTATATAGTTTTGCCTGAGAAAAGGATATGTAGTGCCTGCTGTCTTGCCTAATCATTGTAGAAGTAATTTTGAGATGAAACAATATGTAAATAGTTTTTAGTAACTTTACACACAATAATTGTTTTATCTCATTATTTTCTTAGTTTCTAAAAAACTATTCAAGTTAGTTAACCAATAACATTTATGAATATCTTATATGATACTGGTTGTATGCAACTGCTATTGAGTATTTAAGTTAGAGTGCATTAAAATGGAAGCATAACGTAATAGGAAGAGTTTAGACTTTAGAGTCAGGTAGCCTTGCGTGTGAATCTGGGCTCTGCTGTTTTCTAGCTATTTGACCTCTATAAGTGCAACTTCTTTATCTATAAATTGGAGACTGTATTAGTTACCAATTGCTGCATAACCAATTACCACAAACTTTGGGGCTTAAAACAACAGACCTTTATTATCTCACAGTGTCTGTTGGTCACAAGTCCTGGCATGGCTTAGCTTAGTCTTCTGCTGCAAACAAGCTGCTAGCAAAGACTGGGTGATCCTCAGGAGGCTCAGCTGGCATAGGATCTGCTTCTAAGCTTATGTGGAAGTGTGCAGGTTTCAGTTTCTTGCAGACTGTTGAACTGAGGGCCTCAGTTCCTTGCTGGTGGTAGTCTTGAAGCTGCTCCCAGTTCTGTGCCACTCGGACCTCTCCATATGGCAGCTTCCTTCATCAAAACCAACAAGGAAGAGAGTCAGCAAAATGGAAGTCAGAATGTTTTGTAATCTAATCACAGAAGTGACATCCCCTCAATGTTGAGGTATTCTATTGGTTAGAATCAAATAACTCAAGGGGAGGGGATCAAATTATACAAGCGTGTGAATATCAGGAGGTGAAATCATTAGGGGATGTCATGGAGTCTTCTGCCTCAGGGATAATAATACCTACTTCACAAGATTGTTGTGAAGATTAAAAGAAGTAACATATATTTAAAGATCACTTTATTTTTGGTCTGACCTTAAACTACCTTTCCAGATATTATCTGTTGGTCTTCTGTACAGCAACCAATTTTACTTTTACTATTATTACTAATAATATTTGCTATTTCCCATTTTTTTCTTGCCAGCTAGACTTCGTGTAATCTATTTCTTCTATTTGGAATGATTTTCCCCCAGCCATTTGACTTGTGAAATTCTGTCCATTTTCCAGGGCCTATCTCAAATGCTGGACCCTGGTGGTGCAGTGGTTAAGAGCTATGGCTGCTAACCCAAACCGCAGCAGTTCAAATCCACCAGACGCTGCTTAGGAACCCTATGAGGCAGTTCTACTCTATCCTATAGTGTTGCCCTGAGTGGGAATCAACTGGACGGCAGTGGGTGTGGGTTTGGGTTTGGTTTGATATCTCAAATGCTACTTTTTCCATGAACTTTTCATGACCCATCCTTCTCTGACCCAGAAGTCATCTCCCTCATCTGATCTCCTCTAACCCTTTTTCATAACTTTATTATGGCACTTGTCACAGGCTGCCTTAAATTTTTTCCTTGCTACTTATATTATGAGTTCACCAAGGGCAAGGACTGTGCCTTACATTTTTCTGTGCCCTCATGTTGTTAAAACATCATCTTTTAAACATAGATAATATTTGTTGATTAATGAATTAGTTTCTCAAAGGGTTAGCAGTTTAATAACTTGGAGACAAATTTAAGAAGTTTTAAATGGTTGTGTTTGTTTTATGTGTTGTAATAACCAATATTTCTAGCACCGTAGGGAATAAAGTGTTCCATGTAAGTTAACTTACCAATTAACTACAAATATCTTTTTATGTGCCTGAAGCGATTTTATTTTTACCACTATTCATTTTTCAACCAAAAAACTATGTGGTGAGCATTTACTATGTGATGAATTATTATATGCACATTTGGGGTGAAAATCTTTCTAATATCATTTGTGTACTTAACAGTAATTTACCTTATTAAAAATAATTTAGTCTTTTATTCCTGACTCAGACATAGTATTATGAATATTAGATATTGGGCTATGGTACAGTTATACATACAATGCCATTTTTTGTTGCCAGTTGCCATTGAGTCTATTACAACTCATGGTAACCCCATGTGTGTCAGAGTAGAACTGTGCTCCACAGGGCTTTCTTTTATTCTTTTTTTTGTGTGTGTGTGGGGTGTGTGTTGGGAAAAAGTACCTGTTAAAACACACACCGTAGGGTTTTCAATGGCTAATTTTCTGGATTTGACATAGTGGTTAAGAGCTTGGCTGCTAATCAAAAGGTCAGCAGTTTGAATCCACCAGCTGTTCCTTGGAAACCCTATGGAGCAGTTCTACTCGGTCCTATAGGGTTGCTATGAGTCTGAATAGACTTGATGGCAATGGGCTTGGGGATTTTTTGGTTAATTTTCCAGAAGTAGATCACCAAGCCTTTCTTCTGAAGTGCCTTTTGGTAGACTTGAACCTCCAGACTCCAACCTCCAACCTTTCAGTTAGCAACCAAGCACGTTATCTACTTGTGCCACCCAGAGACTCCTGTATACTCAGTGCTGTTGCTATTGTTGTTAGGTGCTGTGGAGTTCTTGTCTACTCCCAGTGACCCCATGTGACAGAGTAGAACTGCCACATAGGGTTTTCTAGTCTGTAATCTTAATGGGAGCGGATCTCCTGCAGAGTCGTTGAGTGGGTTCAAACCACCAACCTTTCTATCAGCAGCGGAGCTCTTATCCGTTGTGCCACCATGGCTCCTGATATACTCAGTAGGAGCTCTTAAACTATGTAAGGAGCTTTTGCCTCTACCTCAAACTGTAATATCTTGGAGTTCTAAAACTCCATTTTTATGTTTCTCCTCCTTTTTTTTTTGTCACTTTTGTGCTGTTAGCAAGCTTATTTCTAGTCCTTTTTCTAATGTGCTTTATTTTCTTCCTCTAATGTGCTTTGAGCTGGGAGATCCGGTAGCCAAATATGCTGACTCTGAGTGAGGCTGTATGCTGAAAGTAAAGTAGATGAGCAAGGATTTGAACTCTGTTGTGATTGCTGATGCATTTTTTTAATTAATTTTTTTTAAATTGCACTCTAGATAGTTGAAGTTGCCTCATGTAAGACCTCCTGCTAAGTCAATGGTTACAGTAAATATGGTTCAGATTTTTAGAAGTTTAGTTTGTGCTACTGTCTGAGTATTCAAAGGCAGCTGCTAAATGTCACTCCTTCTCTGTAGATCTACTTTGTCAGAGAAAATGATTGGTGCCTCATAAAGCAACAAAACAATCTCAGGATGTAAGTGTGCTGAAAAGCATGTTAAGGAATGGAATCACATACTGTTTATCACTTGTATGTAATGGACTTTGATTGTGAAGACAGTCTTTACTTTTTATTTTATCAGAAGAGGTTAGCTCACTGTATCTACCCATTGGTCTGTTCAAAGTTTTTTTTTTTAAAAAAGATTCATGATTCCTCTTCAGATTTCTTTTTTGATTATTAAGTAGCTCTGACATTATACTGCTGACCACTTAGGTTTCTAATACTGTGTTTAGTCTTGTGAATGTTTATTTAGACTATAAAGAACAACAATGATCTAATTTAATTATATTAACTTATTTTTTAGTTTATGTCTATATTCAATATATTCAGCAGGTATTCAGTAATATATAGTAGCTCTGTCCATTCAGGATATTTTTTAGTTAACTAAATTTTTGTTGTTGTTGTTTTTCTAGGTTAAAAAATGATCATATTTTAGTAACTAATCAGCCTAATGCTTTGATGATGAACAATTTTACCATCATTATTTTTTTCATTTTGGATTGAGAAAATGAATCCAGATACAGAAGAAAGTACGGGATGTTGGGGAAAAGTACCTGTTAAACAGTGGAACATCTAATAACTGATTTTCAAGAATTATTAAAGAAGTAAAATTGTTATGCTTCGATTTTGGTATGGTGTTGACTCTCTAGCACATAGGTAGCCCTCCAAAAAAATACCAGTTTTTCAAATTATGGAAATTTTGTGGAAGACGTTGACCTGGATTTTGAGCCTCATCATGATTTCGTCAGAATTTCATAGTGACCACAGGCTTTCATACAGTTCTCAAGGTAGGATTCCTGCTTTTGAAATGGACAAAAAAATTGCTATTTCTCTGACAAGAAAGGACTCAGAATATTTAGTTTGGTGAACATTTTATTTGGACTATGTAGTGGTAGGAGGGAAGGCCTATTGTGTCAATTCACTGCTGGTTTAATAAATGTTTAACTTGTCTTGTTAGTAATCAACATCCAGTGGATTTTAGAGCTGATTGGTATTTCATGGAAGATGATAGATCTCAGGTCTCTTCTTATTCTGAATCCTAAACTTTAATAGGTTCATCTAGTTGCTAAAGTTTATGGGCAATGTCATGTTCAAAGTTAATCCAAAGGTTTATGCTGTAAAAGAGGATGAAACGAGACAAATTCTGATACTGATACAGAACCTTTCCAATAAGGACCCTATGTTAAAAAAAAAAAAAAAAACTTTCCAAACTTTAGAATTCTGATCTAAGAATCACTTTGGATGATTTTGACCTTGGATGAAACCGTACGAGTTGTAAGAAGTTCAACCTTTCAAATTCTAATCCTTAGCCCAAAACCCAAACCTACTGCCATTGCGTCGACTCCAACTCATAGCAACCCTACAGGACAGAGTAGAACTGCCCCATACGGTTTCCAAGGCTATAATCTTTACAGAAGGAGACTGCCGCATCTTTCTACCACAGAGCAGCTAATGGGTTTGAACCGCTGACCTTTCGGTTAGCAGCCAAGCACTTTAACCACTGTGCCAGGGCTTCTTATTCTAATCCTCAGTTGTCTATAATTTTAATCTATAGAATTAAATTTTATATCATAGAAAAGATCTTAACAAAGAAGTTCCCAGGGGTGAATGTCACTTTGTTTGCATAGACAGGTGTAATCTTTGTAGAATTATTGAAAAGCTTATCTTTTGGATCTACCTCTTATGAACCTAATAACAAAAAACTATCACTTTTTGGTGCTGATGAGCCAGATTTTCAAGGCCATTATAGTTTGAAGTATATGTCTAGAAAGTCCATGTATACAAAGTATGGCTCTCAAAGCAGATTAACAAAGCCATGGCATTTAATATGAACTCTTGTTTATAAGAAGTAAAATAAGTACTGTCTTTCAACTTATTTTCATTTGGTTATGGTTTCATGGGAATTGTGGATAAACACATGTATAGATAGTGAGGCAGTGGGCAGACATTTGGTTTCTCTTAGTAATAAGCCTAGCTAAAGGAAGGTGTGGCTAAGAAGGTAGATGGACAATAGTTAGGACATCTAAGTGAGAAAAATATGTTTAATAGTCCTCTGAATTTTCAGTCTAGTTCATGTTTTTTTTAACAGCTTTATTGAGATATAATACATATACCATATAATTCACCCATTTAAATTGTACAATTCAATGGTGTTTTTGTATATTTACAGAGCTGTGCAACCATTACCACAATCAACTTTACAACATTTTCAACAGCCTCAAAAGAATTTCCATACCTATTAGCAGCTGCCGTGAAATTCCCTCCAAACCCCCTACCTCTCCCCAGCCATAGGCAACCACTAAATCATTTTCTGTCTCTAGAGCTTTGCCTGTTCTGGACATTTCATATCAATGTAATTATATAATATGTGGTCTTTTGTAACTGGCTTTTTTCACTCAGCATAGTAATTTTTTAATGTTAGCATAATGAATTTTAACTATGGAGGCAGTCATTATGAAGGTTCATTCATGTTGTAGCACGTATCAGTACTGCATCCCTTTTTATTGCAGAATAATATTCCATTGTGTGGATATACCACATTTTATGTATCTATTCATCAGTTGATGGACATTTGGGTTGTTTCCCTTTTTGTCTATTATGAATAATGCTGCTGTGAACATTCACATAAACGTTTTTGTGTGGATGTATGTTTTCATTTCTCTTTGGTATATACCTAGCAGTGGAATTGTTGGATCAAAGGAGCCCTATGACACAGTGGTAAAAGCCCTCGACTGCTAACCGAAAGGTCGGCAGTTCGAAACCACCAGTGGCTCCATGGGAGAAAGATGTGGCATTCTGCTTCCATAGAGATTTACAGCCTTGGAAACCCTGTGGGGTCACTATGAGTCAACATCGACTCAATGGCAGTGGGTTATGGTAACTTCATGTTTAACATTTTGAGGAATTGCCAGACTGTTTCCTAAAGTAGCTGTTGGCATTTTAGATTCCCACCAATGAGTTTTTTAAAAATAATTTCTCCAAGACTATAGAAATTCCGTATAAATCCTTTTGGATACCTTTTTCATGAACAGATCTTGTCTGAACTAAACTCTATCTTTTTGCACATATGGACTTTTCACTGTTTTTTACTTCAGTGTGAAATATCCATACTTCCTGTAGAATATAGCTCTTAGAATCTATATTTTCAAAAGTAAAAAGGAAAATTCTTCACAAATAATTTTATTTTGAGGAATGAAATAATTGGAACTTGATTAATCTTTAGATTTTAAATATTTACTCTTTCATTTTTGTTTGATATAACATTTTTTTTTGCCCCTCTGTCACATATAATGATATGCATAGTTTTAACCAATGTAGTTTGTGTTTATACTGCTACTTTTTTGTTCTGTTAAATTTTCTTTTCTTCCATGTGTCTTTTCTGGATTCTCTGCCTTGTGATTACAAAGAGGAATTCCTGACTTATCTTGAACACTACCAGCTAACTATTCCAATAAGAGTTGATCAAAATGGAGCTTTTCTCAGCTTTACTGTGAAAAATGATAAACACTCAAGGAGAAGACGGAGTATGGACTCTATTGATCCACAACAAGCAGTATCTAAGTTATTTTTTAAACTTTCAGCCTATGGCAAGCACTTTCACCTAAACTTGACTCTCAGCACAGATTTTGTGTCCAAACATTTTACAGTAGAATATTGGGGGAAAGATGGACCCCAGTGGAAACATGATTTTTTAGACAACTGTCATTACACAGGATACTTGCAAGATCAACATAGTACAACTAAAGTGGCTTTAAGCAACTGTGTTGGGTTGGTAAGTAGATGCTATATTTTAAATTTCTGATGGGGAAATAAATTCACAGTGTAAATGTCTTTCCTCAGATTAAAATATGTATATATATATATATATAT